ATTATCATGAAACTTCAATAAATTGACTTAGTCACAAGCTAATGCATTGTTGACGCTGCCCCGTCGGAAACAACATGCCCGAGTCTCACTTTTCCAACTTCATCCAAGCAATACAAAACTAGATAATGGGGGTCTCTTGCAGATGAGCACATTCCCCTTACAACTATTCTATATACCAAATAAAGTTGACCAGATCCTCCGATTTAACGTCCAAAAGATATTGCCTGAAATATAAGTTAACCAAAATACCAGTCTTTTAATAGCCAAGACAGACTTTTGAACCCCCTAAATCAGTTTGAGCATCCTCATTCCCTGGGCATAATTTACGTCTCTCGATAGCTGCTGTAACTTTGGACTTGACTTATTTACCAACAATCAAAAGGGTTAATTTCGATCCAATGGGGTAATATCAAACCAAGTTTTTCCTGCTCTTCTACCTTCTGAAATATAAAACTTGTCGCTGCTGCAACATTAACATGTCTTCAATTCAAAATGAGGTCGAAGACAATAAACATTTGCCAGGGGGAAACCTTTAGACCATAAGTCATGTGTGAACAAGATCTGGATAATCCTGCTCTTTTACCTTCTAGAATATAAATCTTTATACAGATAGTTGTCTCCTACACTGATGGATTAGAATCCCTAGATCTTGTTTTCTGAGACATTTGACTCATACGAGACGAAAAAATAAAAGACTTACCTCTTCATTTTCAGTTTTAGTGAGTGCTTTTATGTAATAAATTTTTAGGACTCTGAAATACTTTATTGTGAAAAAAGTTCATAGAACTCTGAAGTACATTATTGCGAAAAAGTTCAATCACGGTTCCACTTGTATTTTTTCATTTTCAAACAAGAAATTAGAGGCTGGAGAACCATTACTGACACTTGTCTGTGTTCACCTGAATCTCGTAGATGCTTCAAATGCAGAAGCACAACATGAGCATTCAAACGTGTGTACATTGTAGGCTTGGACACCTTTAAGATATTCTACAAGGATTAATATTTATGAAACAATCCTTATCGAAAATAATCACTTCCAAAGGGATATTCCACTAATGCAATACCAGGATGTTTTTAGCTCCAGAGAAGGCTAAATATAGAAATAAGGAGATGTGATATGACTGCCAATGACACAACTTTCCACCACAGTTCAAATGAAGTGGATGTAAGCAATTATAGGCAACCATACAGCCTTCAACAATGAGAAAAACCCATACCCTATAGTTGGATAAAAAAGGCCCCAACATGAAATATGCTCACCAAAAAAAAAATTCGTAAGGGTTCCACGGAACCCAGTGTCTCGCCTACTTTTTCTGTTAATGGCAGGCTAAAAAAAAATGAGGAAGTAAATCAATAAAAATATTCCTGTTGATACTATCTTTTGATTGTAAGAAGCTTCTGTCCAAGTTTGGTAAAAATCCAGGATAGTTTATGAATCTAATAAATGTTAAAAAACTTTAACTGCAGACTGAATGTAATGTTAACTGGAAGAAAACAAAGTTTCCTTCTAGATACTAGCATTTGATCATAAACATGCTTCTGTCCAAGTTTGGTACAAATCAAAAATAGTATAAGAAAGTTATTAAAATTTTAAAAACTTTAACCACAGAGTGAATGTGTTGTTTCCTTGCAGAAAATCTAAGTCCATTTAAAAGTAAAATACGGAAAAAATGGATTTATTTTTTTGCAAAATTTCCTTCTAGATACTAGCTTTTGATCATGAACAAGCTTCTGTCCAAGTTTGGTACAAATCCAAAATAGTATAAGAAAGTTATTAAAATTTTAAAAACTTTAACCACAGAGTGAATGTGTTGTTTCCTGGCAGAAAATCTAAGTCCATTTAAAAGTAAAATAAGGAAAAAATGTTTTTTTTTTTACAAAATTTACTTCTGGATACTATCTTGTGATCATAAACAAGCTTCTGTCCAAGTTTGGTAGAAACCCAGGATAGTTTAAGAAAGTTATCAAAATTTTAAAAACTTTAACCAAAGAGTGAATGTAATATTTCCCGGCAGAAAAACTAAGTCCATTTATAAGTAAAATACGGAAAAAATGGAATTTTATTTTTCAAAATTTACTTCTGGATACTATCTTATGATCATAAACAAGCTTCTGTCCAAGTTTGGTAGAAATCTAGGATAGTTTAAGAAAGTTATTAAAATTTCAAAAACTTTAACCACAGAGTGAATATTTGTGGACGCCGCCGACGACAACGACGACGACGACGACGACGCCGACGCCGACGGAATGTAGGATCGCTATGTCTCGCTTTTTCGACTAAAGTCGAAGGCTCGACAAAAATTAAAATAAAATGCTCCGCTGGGCGCAGCTTGATACGACCAAAGAGGTCGAACCCTGAACAGTTGGGGCAAGTATGGACACAACATTCAAGCTTGATACAGCACTGAATTTGGATTGTGATTAAATATTTGACACAGCATAGGTTTCTGACACAGAATGAATGTGGTCTAAGAACTTAAAAAATTTTAATTTACCTATTCAAACCATATCACTATTACTTGCTTTTATATATATATCAGAAATAACCAATTTAAAATGGAAAATTTTAAAGAAAAAAAAGGAAAAAAAATCCCTCCCCCAAATTTTTTGAACCCCCTTATGATTCATCATCCCCAAACTCAATCCCAGCCTTCCCTTTGTGGTATGGTACCTTGAAGTACAATGTCAGAGAGATCCATACACTTTAACACAAGCTATTGTCTGGAAACTAGAAAAATGCTTGTTTTTAGGCCCCTTTTTGGTCCCAAATTCCTAAATGTTTAGGGCAATTACCCCCAAACTCAAACCCAGCTTTCCCTTTGTGATATGGAACCTTGTAATACAATTTCATAAAGATCCATACACTAACACACAAGTTATTGTCATGAAACTAAAAAAAATGCTTGTTTTTTCCCCCTTTTTGGCCCCTAATTCCTAAAATTTTGAGGCAATTACCCCCAAAATAATTCCCAGCATTCCCTTTGTGGTATGGTACCTTGCAGTACAATTTCAGAGAGATCCATACATTTGAACACAAGTTATTGTCTGGAAACTAGAAAAATGTTTATTTTTGGCCCCTTATACCTAATTGTTTTAGGCAATTACCACCAAACTCAATTCCAGCTTTCCCTTTGTGATATGGAACCTTGTAGTACAATTTCAGAAAGATCCATACACTTACACACAAGTTATTATCATGAAACTAGAAAAATGCTTGTTTTTTGCCCCTAATTCCTAAAATTTTGAGGCAATTACCCCCAAAATCAATCCCAGCATTCCCTTTGTGGTATGGTACCTTGCAGTACAATTTCAGAGAGATCCATACACTTGAACACAAGTTATTGTCTGGAAACTAGAAAAATGTGTTTTTTGGCCCCTTTTTTGCCCCTTATTCCTAAACGTTTTAGGCAATTACCACCAAACTCAATTCCAGCTTTCTCTTTGTGATATGGAACCTTGTAGTACAATTTCAGAAATATCCATACACTTACACACAAGTTATTATCATGAAACTAGAAAAATGCTTGTTTTTTGCCCCTTTTTTGGCCCCTAATTCCTAAAATTTTGAGGCAATTACCCCCAAAATCAATCCCAGCATTCCCTTTGTGATATGGAACCTTGTGGTACAATGTCAGAGAGATCCATACACTAACACACAAGTTATGTCTGAAAGTTACAAAAATACTTATTTTTGGCCCCTAATTCCTTAACTGTTGGTACCATAACATCCAAAATCAATCCCAACCTTCCTTTTGTGGTATTGAACCTTATGGTATAATTTCATTGAGATCCATTCACTTAAACTAAAGTTAGAGTGCGAAAACCAATGTGTCTTCGGACGACGACGCCAACGTCATACCAATATACGACCGCAAATTTTTTTTGCGGTCGTATAAAACAAGAGTGCACACACCGAAATGTCGCCTTCTTTACTAATCATTGATATTATGTTGATAGTCCTAAATATAAAGCTTTATTACAACTGTCACATAAACTTAACATTAACCAAGTAAACTAAACATTGACCAATGAACCATGAAAATGAGGTCAAGGTCAGATGAACCATGCTAGGCAGGCATGTACAGCTAACAATTCTTCCATACAACAAATATAGTTGACCTATTGTTTATAGTTTAAGAAAAACAGACCAAAACACAAAAACTTAACACTGAGCAATGAACCTTGAAAATGAGGTCAAGGTCAAATAAAACCTGCGTGACTGACATATAGATCATAAAATATTTCCATTCACCAAATATAGTTGAACTATTGCATATAGTATTAGAAATAAGACCAAAACTCAAAAACTTAACTTTGACCACTGAACCATGAAAATGAGGTCAAGGTCAGATGACACCTGTCAGCTAGACATGTACACCTTACAATCATTCCATACACCAAATATAGTAGACCTATTGCATACAGTATAAGAAAAACAGACCAAAACACAAAAACTTAACTATAACCACTGAACCATGAAAATGAGGTCAAGGTCAGATGACATCTGCCAGTTGGACATGTACACCTTACAGTCCTTCCATACACGGAAGAGGGGCGTATGTTTGAGTTTGCGGGATGTATAAATACACAGCAACGGCTGGTCGCAAGGAGGACGTTAAATCCGTGTAGGAAGAGTGTCATTTTCTTTGCACGTGAAAGAATCCTTTCAAACAACTAGTTGGCTAGTTACAAAGGAAAATATCTGTCCCTATTCAACAAGCACTTTCTTATTGGCAATAAAAAGTTCCCGCCATTTAACCTGGTCGACACACGCTACAGAACCTATAAATTTGATTCATAAATTCGTTCTCATCCTGAATATGCATGAAATATTATTAAGTATTATATTATTTTGCTCTGGAAGTATAATTTATATATGTTACTACAGTTTTTTAATCATAAGTTGTGCAAGGTTTTGTTTTTGTTTTCTAGATTGTGGTATTCTTTATAAAATTATGATTTTACAATGATCATTTGATATTTTTCTTTTTCATTTACAGAACCAACTTGCACCAAGAGGGTTGTATTTATGTCAAAGTGAAAACAAGGACGGATGGAACTGATAATTTATACAGAGTATCAAAAGAAAACGAATTTAAATCACTTTTAGAACTGTTTAAACATTACATTCATAAAGGTTTACCGACAAAGTTCATTAAAAAATAAAATATTAACGAAACTTGTGTTTTGATGTGTTACAATGCTTGTGGTAATGCTTGTTAACGACATTCCCGCCATTTATCTTGGTCGACCCACGCGGCAGAACTTATCAGTTCGATTTATAAATTCTTTCTCATCCTAAATATGCATGAAATATTTGCCACTGGATATTGAGCAAGCTACAATCAATTAACCAATCGATCAGTTTTTTTGCTTTTGAAATAAGAAAATTTTAAATATTTTTATTTTATTGATGGAGTTCAAAATCTATAGTTAACACATTTCTAACAGTTGCTGGTCAAATGTTGATAAATAAACATTGAAAATAGTCAAGGTCAGGTAAACCATGTTAGAATGTTATGTTCTACTTATAAACATTTCATATATATCATAAATATATTTGAATTATGAGTTGGAGAAATGGACATTCTGGACAAATCACATCAGTGAAGCATGGAATTAACTTCAAGGTCAGATAAACTGAAGACGAACATGTACCACTTACAACCATTCTTTAAAACAAACATAGTGGACATATCATTTACAAGAGTGCACACGCTGAAATGTCTCGCCTGTTTTACTCACTATTGATTTTATGTTGAAAGTCTTAAAGATAAAGGTTTTGCTACAAGTATCACATAAGCTTAACATTTTAAAGAGCCATGACAATGAGGTCAAGGTCAGATTAAAACTGTCACCTTACAATTATTACATATACCAATTATAGTTGACCTATTGCTATTAGTACTTGAAAAACAGACCAAAACACAAAAACTGAACATTGACCAATGGACCATGAAAATCAGGTCAAGGTCAGATGACAACGGCTAGACAGACATGTATACCTTACAATAATTCCATAAACCAAATAAAGTTGACCTATTGCTTAAAGTGCTTGAAAAACAGACCAAAACACAAAAACTTAACATTGACCAATGAACCATTAAAATGAGGTCAAGGTCAGATGAAACCTACCAGTCTGACATGTACCCCTTACAATCATTCCATACACCACATATAGTTGACCTGCTGCTTGTAGTATCTGAGAAACGGACCTAATCACTTAACTTTAACCTTGATCACTGATGCATGAATTGAGGTTGAGGTCAGGTTAACCCTGTTTGACAGACACGTAGACGTTGCAAGAAACCCATACCAAATATAGTTACCCTATTACTCATAATAAGTGAGAAATTCACATGACAAAAAAATGTAATTCTTTTTCAAGCAGTCACTAAACCATGAAAATGAGGTCAAGGACAATGGTCATATGACAGACGGAAACTTCGTAATATAAGGTATCTGCATACAAGGTATGAAGCATCCAGGTCTTCTACCTTCTGAAATATAAAAGCTTTATACAAATAGTTTACACTGCCGCCACCGGATAATAATACATATGTCTCGCATACTGCGACTTTCGTCGCAGGCGAGACAATAGTTATCGAGAAACTGACCTTGACGTTGATCACTGAACCATGAAAAGGTTCAGGTCAGATTTGTATGTACCGCTCACAACCATTCTATTTGCCAAATAAAGTTGAATCATGAGGCGTAGAGAAAAAAACCAGACCAAATCACGAAAACTTGGCGTTTAACTGTTGGCATCTTGTTTTTTTGTATTTTTGATGGTACATGTATAATGCAAATGTTGAAATTAAAACAGCAATATGTAAACATGTAAACTATGCAAAACATTCAAAGTTAATCATGACTGGAGGTGCAGGGCTAAATAACCTCCATGGAAATGAAAAATGTCAATGGTTATAAACCTACATACCATTGACTTATCATAAGAGTTCCTTTTAAACTAACCTGAACACAAAATCTAATAGGTAAACAAGGCAAAACATTCAAAGTCAATAGGCCATGACTGAGGGAGTGTAGCCAAATAATCTCTATGGAAATCATATGTGCCAATGCTAATACATCTACATACCAAATTATCATGAAACTACCACTAGTGGTTTTCAATAAATTGACCTAGTCACAAGCTAATGCATTGTTGACGCTGCCCCGTCGGAAACAACATGCCCGAGTCTCACTTTTCCAACTTCATCCAAGCAATACAAAACTAGATAATGGGGGTCTCTTGCAGATGAGCACATTCCCCTTACAACTATTCTATATACCAAATAAAGTTGACCAGATCCTCCGATTTAACGTCCAAAAGATATTGCCTGAAATATAAGTTAACCAAAATACCAGTATTTAAATAGCCAAGACAGACTTTTGAACCCCCTAAATCAGTTTGAGCATCCTCATTCCCTGGGCATAATTTACGTCTCTCGATAGCTGCTGTAACTTTGGACTTGACTTATTTACCAACAATCAAAAGGGTTAATTTCGATCCAATGGGGTAATATCAAACCAAGTTTTTCCTGCTCTTCTACCTTCTGAAATATAAAACTTGTCGCTGCTGCAACATTAACATGTCTTCAATTCAAAATGAGGTCGAAGACAATAAACATTTGCCAGGGGAAACCTTTAGACCATAAGTCATGTGTGAACAAGATCTGGATAATCCTGCTCTTTTACCTTCTAGAATATAAATCTTTATACAAATAGTTGTCTCCTTCACTGATGGATTAGAATCCCTAGATCTTGTATTCTGAGACATTTGACTCATACGAGACGAAAAAATAAAAGACTTACCTCTTCATTTTCAGTTATAGTGAGAGCTTTTATGTAATAAATTTTTAGGACTCTGAAATACTTTATTGTGAAAAAAGTTCATAGAACTCTGAAGTACATTATTGCGAAAAAGTTCCACTTGTATTTTTTCATTTTCAAACAAGAAATTAGAGGCTGGCGAACCCTTACTGACACTTGTCTGTGTTCACCTGAATCTCGTAGATGCTTCAAATGCAGAAGCACAACATGAGCATTCAAACGTGTGTACATTGTAGGCTTGGACACCTTTAAGATATTCTACAAGGATTAATATTTATGAAACAATCCTTATCGAAAATAATCACTTCCAAAGGGATATTCCACTAATGCAATACCAGGATGTTTTTAGCTCCAGAGAAGGCTAAATATAGAAATAAGGAGATGTGATATGACTGCCAATGACACAACTTTCCACCACAGTTCAAATGAAGTGGATGTAAGCAGTTATAGGCAACCATACAGCCTTCAACAATGAGAAAACCCCATACCATATAGTTGGATAAAAAAGGCCCCAACATGAAATATGCTCACCAAAAAAAAAAAAAATTAAAATAAAATGCTCCGCTGGGCGCAGCTTGATACGACCACAGAGCTCGAACCCTGAACAGTTGGGGCAAGTATGGACACAACATTCAAGCTTGATACAGCACTGAATTTGGACTGTGATTAAATATTTGACACAGCATAGGTTTCTGACACAGAATGAATGTGGTCTAAGAACTTAAAAAATTTTAATTTACCTATTCAAACCATATCACTATTATTTGCTTTTATATATAAATCAGAAATAACCAATTTAAAATGGAAAATTTTAAAGAAAAAAAAGGAAAAAAAGGAAAAAAAATCCCTTCCCCAAATTTTTTGAACCCCCTTATGATTCATCACCCCCAAACTCAATCCCAGCCTTCCCTTTGTGGTATGGTACCTTGAAGTACAATTTCAGAGAGATCCATACACTTGAACACAAGTTATTGTCTGGAAACTAGAAAAATGCTTGTTTTTAGGCCCCTTTTTGGTCCCAAATTCCTAAATGTTTAGGGCAATTACCCCCAAACTCAAACCCAGCTTTCCCTTTGTGATATGGAACCTTGTAATACAATTTCATAAAGATCCATAAACTAACACACAAGTTATTGTCATGAAACTAAAACTAGAGGCTCTCAAGAGCCTGTGTCGCTCACCTGATTCTACTTTGGTTTTGGAAATCATGTAAAAATAGATTAAAATCATAACAGATACCCTAATAATGAGTGAGGCCAAATTTGGTTTAATATTGGTCCTGTAATTTAATAAAAAATCCTGGTGGCCATCTTGAACAGTAAATCAGCAACAAAGTAGCAACACTTAATCAGCACCTCATAAGAAACATTTATGCCATGTTTTGGTTTCATTCCATTCAGTGCACCTCTAGAAGAAGCATTTGTATGTATTTCTCATAGGGTCTTATGTTAAAGGAAGTCCCCCCATTGGCGGCCATCATGGATGAAGGATCAGCTTCAAAGTAACAAAAATTAGTCAGCACCTCATAAGGAACATTCATGCCATGTTTGGTTCAATCCATTCAGTATGTGGTTCTCTAAAAGAAGACATTTGTATGTATTGTCCATAGGGTCCTTTGTTAAACATTGTCCCCATCTGGCAGCCATCATAGATGAAGGATCAGCTTCAAAGTAACAACACTTGGTCAGCACCTCGAAAGGAACATGCATGCAATGTTTGGTTTCATTCCATTCAATGGTTCTCTAAAAGAAAACATTTGTACGTATTTCTCATAGGGTCCTATGTTAAACTAAGTCCTCCGCTGGCGGCCATCTTAGATTATGGATCGGCTTCATAGTAACAACACTTGGTCAGCACCTCATAAGGAACATTCATGCCATGTTTGGTTTCATTCCATTCAGTGGTTCTCTAAAAGAAAACATTTGTATGTATTTCCCATAGGATCCTATGTTAAACTAAGTCCCCCGCTGGCTGCCATCTTGGATGATGGATCGGCTTCAAAGTAACAACACTTGGTCAGCACCTCATAAGGAACATTCTTGCCATGTTTGGTTTCATTCCATTCAGTGGTTCTCTAAAAGAAGACGTTTGTATGTATTTCCCATAGGGTCCCATGTTAAACTAAGTCCCCCGCTGGCGGCCATCTTGGATTATGGATCGGCTTCAAAGTAACAACACTCGGTCAGCACCTCATAAGGAACATTCATGCCATGTTTGGTTTCATTGCATTCAGTGGTTCTCTAAAAGAAAACATTTGTATGTATTTCCATAGGATCCTATGTTAAACTAAGTCCCCCGCTGGTTGCCATCTTGGATGATGGATCGGCTTCAAAGTAACAACACTTGGTCAGCACCTCATAAGGAACATTCTTGCCATGTTTGGTTTCATTCCATTCAGTGGTTCTCTAAAAGAAGACATTTGTATGTATTTCTCATAGGGTCCTATGTTAAACTAAGTCCCTCACTGGCGGCCATTTTGGATGATGGAACGGCTACAAAGTAACAACACTTGGTCAGCACCTTGTAAGTAACATTCATGCTATGTTTTGTTTCATTCCATTCAGTGGTTCTCTAAAAGAAGTCATTTGTATGCATTTCCCATAGGGTCCTATGTTAAACTAAGTCCCCCGCTGGCGGCCATCTTGGATGATGGATCGGCTACAAAGTAACAACACTTGGTCAGCACCTCCTAATGAACATTCATGCTATGTTTTGTTTCATTCCATTCAGTGGTTCTCTAAAAGAAGTCATTTGTATGCCTTTCCCATAGGGTCCTATGTTAAACTATGTCCCTCGCTGGCGGCCATTTTGGATGATGGAATGGCTACAAAGTAACAACACTTGGTCAGCACCTTGTAAGGAACATTCATGCTATGTTTTGTTTCATTCCATTCAGTGGTTCTCTAAAAGAAGTCATTTGTATGCATTTCCCATAGGGTCCTATGTTAAACTAAGTCCCCTGCTGGCAGCCATCTTGGATGATGGATCAACTACAAAGTAACAACACTTGGTCAGCACCTTGTAATGAACATTCATGCTATGTTTTGTTTCATTCCATTCAGTGGTTCTCTAAAAGAAGACATTTGTATGCATTTCCCATAGGGTCCTATGTTAAACTAAGTCCCCCGCTGGCTGCCATCTTGGATTATGGATCGGCTTCAAAGTAACAACACTCGGTCAGCACCTCATAAGAAACATTCATGCCATGTTTGGTTTCATTCCATTCAGTGGTTCTCTAAAAGAAGTCATTTGTATGCATTTCCCATAGGGTCCTATGTTAAACTAAGTCCCCCGCTGGCGGCCATCTTGGATGATGGATCGGCTACAAAGTAACAACACTTGGTCAGCACCTCATAAGGAACATTCATGCCATGTTTGGTTTCATTCCATTCAGTGGTTCTCTAGAAGAAGTTCAAAATGTAAAAAGTTTACGCCGACGACGGACGACGCCGGACGACGGACGACGGACGCCAAGTGATGAGAAAAGCTCACTTGGCCCTTCGGGCCAGGTGAGCTAAAAAATGCTTGTTTTTTCCCCCTTTTTGGCCCCTAATTCCTAAAATTTTGAGGCAATTACGCCCAAAATCATTCCCAGCATTCCCTTTGTGGTATGGTACCTTGCAGTACAATTTCAGAGAGATCCATACATTTGAACACAAGTTATTGTCTGGAAACTAGAAAAATGTTTATTTTTGGCCCCTTATACCTAATTGTTTTAGGCAATTACCACCAAACTCAATTCCAGCTTTCCCTTTGTGATATGGAACCTTGTAGTAGAATTTCAGAAAGATCCATTCACTTACACACAAGTTATTATCATGAAACTAGAAAAATGCTTGTTTTTTGCCCCCAATTCCTAAAATTTTGAGGCAATTACCCCCAAAATCAATCCCAGCATTCCCTTTGTGGTATGGTACCTTGCAGTACAATTTCATAGAGATCCATACACTTGAACACAAGTTAGTGTCTGGAAACTAGAAAAATGCTTATTTGTTGCCCCTTTTTTGCCCCTTATTCCTAAACGTTTTAGGCAATTACCACCAAACTCAATTCCAGCTTTCTCTTTGTGATATGGAACCTTGTAGTACAATTTCAGAAAGATCCATACACTTACACACAAGTTATTATCATGAAACTAGAAAAATGCTTGTTTTTTGCCCCTATTTTGGCCCCTAATTCCTAAAATTTTGAGGCAATTACCCCCAAAATCAATCCCAGCATTCCCTTTGTGATATGGAACCTTGTGGTACAATGTCAGAGAGATCCATACACTAACACACAAGTTATTTCTGAAAGTTACAAAAATGCTTATTTTTGGCCCCTAATTCCTTAACTGTTGGTACCATAACATCCAAAATCAATCCCAACCTTCCTTTTGTGGTATTGAACCTTATGGTATTTCATTGAGATCCATTCACTTAAACTAAAGTTAGAGTGCGTAAACCAATGTGTCTTCGGACGACGACGCCAACGTAATACCAATATACGACCGCCAATTTTTTTTGCGGTCGTATAAAACAAGAGTGCACACACCGAAATGTTGCCTCCTTTACTAATCATTGATATTATGTTGATAGTCCTAAATATAAAGCTTTATTACAACTGTCACATAAACTTAATATTAACCAAGTAAACTAAACATTGACCAATGAACCATGAAAATGAGGTCAAGGTCAGATGAACCATGCTAGGCAGGCATGTACAGCTAACAATTCTTCCATACAACAAATATAGTTGACCTATTGTTTATAGTTTAAGAAAAACAGACCAAAACACAAAAACTTAACACTGAGCAATGAACCTTGAAAATGAGGTCAAGGTCAAATAAAACCTGCGTGACTGACATATAGATCATAAAATATTTCCATTCACCAAATATAGTTGAACTATTGCATATAGTATTAGAAAAAAAGACCAAAACTCAAAAACTTAACTTTGACCACTGAACCATGAAAATGAGGTCAAGGTCAGATGACACCTGTCAACTAGACATGTACACCTTACAATCATTCCATACACCAAATATAGTAGACCTATTGCATACAGTATAAGAAAAACAGACCAAAACACAAAAACTTAACTATAACCACTGAACCATGAAAATGAGGTCAAGGTCAGATGACACCTGCCAGTTGGACATGTACACCTTACAGTCCTTCCATACACCGAATATACTAGACCTATTGCTTATAGTATCTGAGATATGGACTTGACCACCAAAACTTAACCTTGTTCACTGATCCATGAAATGAGGTCGAGGTCAAGTGAAAACTGTTTGACAGGCATGAGGACCTTTCAAGGTACGCACATACCAAATATAGTTATCCTATTACTTATAATAGGAGAGAATTCAACATTACAAAAAATCTTAACTTTTTTTTCAAGTAGTCACTGAACCATGAAAATGAGGTCAAAGATATTGGACATGTGACTGACGGAAACTTCGCAACATGAGGCATCCATATACAAAGTATGAAGCATCCAGATCTTCCACCTTCTCAAATATAAAGCTTTTAAGAAGTTAGCTAACGTCGCCGCCGCCGCTGGATCACTATCCCTATGTCGAGCTTTCTGCGACAAAAGTCGCAGGCTCTACAAAAATACTAGGCCTAATATTTTACATTTAAATGCTTCATTTGCTGTTGTCATCATGTTAAATGTTTTAAAAGCTTGCCATACAAAGTTGGTGTGTATTCAATAATGTAGGGTAACCTTTATCTGTTTTCTTTCCCTTTTCTATGGTCTTCAGATGGAAATACTCTTATTTTCTTTTAGACACTGTGCCTTCCAAACTTTGAATCATATTTTTTGAAGTTTGAGTTTAAGTGTGTGTTAATACTCAATTCAAATGGTTCCTTACTGCAAATGTTTATTCTCTTTTTATGTCAAAGATGTGATCACAGAAAAGGGTGTGTTATTTTTATTTTTATTCAATAAAAGAAAACAGACAACTGAAATACAATAATCTATTCACAAATTGTATTCAAACATGTATTCTCCAACAGTCATACAAACAAACATTCAAGAAGTACATATTTGCTGTTTTATACAAAAGATCTGCTAATAAACAATTCTGACACTGTATTAAACCTAACTATAGCAGTATTTCAAAGACATTTTGACATTTAGCATTCATCTTGATAGCATTTATTCAGTTCATGTGTCTTTTTAAACAATTTTCAAACATCTAGCTTTTTTGCATAGGCTTCAGTCTTGTAATGTTCAACTAGTGAATAGATTTGTCAAGTGATTTTCAATCAAGTTAAAAAGTTGTTCCCATCGAACTTGTAGATTTTTAAGTATTTCAATGTTTTCTACAGAACTTTTTGGTAATTGTTTATGGTTGATCATGAAATATTTTCTTGAACTCCTACTGATATCAAAATAAGCAATTTTCATTTTTTAATTAGACAATCATGTTATTAGTGTTAAAATTGAAACAACCTTTGTAGCACATAGAATCTTTACAGTAAAAATAAAGGGATTTCTTGAACAAATAACATGGCAATAAATAGGAAAAGAGGTATAAACAATTAAAAATGTCTTGTTCAACAGAACATCAGCACTATTTGTGACTTGGCAGCAGTTACTTATTCATTTTTATAAATTTTCTGAAACCTTTCTTAAGGAGGAAGACCTAGGTTAAAGAATATTAGTCTTCAAAGTCTCGGAAACGTTTGTGGCAAAGGTTTTCAAAATAAATTCTAAGCTTTTAAGTTACACATATTATTTTACTTCTGTTTCACCCGAGTGCTTAAAAAGAATCGATGAAGTTGCCTATTACAAACACATTACTGATTTAAAGACTTGTCTCCTTTAACACAGATCTACCCCTGTAAGCTAACCAACCGTCTTTTGATTGAACACTCTGTCCAGATTTTGTTCATTGTTTTTTAATGAGATTTTGTTCAGTATCAGAGTTTAGATTAGTTTGGTTCCACTTTACACAAGCATTGCAAATCATTCTATTTTACCCTGTAACTGGGTAATTCTATATTTGTGTAAACTTGCCAGTGTCCTGGTCCTTCACAAATTGACCAAACATTAACTTACAAAAAAGGAATGTTTAAATAGCACTGTTTAGAAAACATAAATCATTTAATATTGTCTGTAAATAAAAGGAATTCTTATACAGTGTTAATTCTAGCATAAAATGCTGTTGGAATATGATGTGTATTTTTCCTAAACAATTTCAGTCTTAAAACAGTTCTGCTTTACCAAATTCAAATTCCCTTACATACCAGCTTCTTGCAGTTATCTTTTTTGACAATTATGATTTAAATAAGATGCTTTTTCACTGCAGAAAAAAAAAAAATCCAATACTGTAGCAAAACTAAAAACTTTCTTTAAATTATATTTATCATATGTTAATAGGCTGCTAAAAAATAATGACTTTATGATCTATCTAAATATGTATATTATCATTTCTATCATTTTTCCAACAAGAAAGTCTTATTACAGTAGAATATTTGGAAGAAAAGAGCACTTTAACTGTTAAATACTATTACATCTAAATACTTCTACTTTCCGAACTGGTCCCACTGTTTGTTAGACCTATTTGCTGATATGTATTTCTAGTTAAAAACTTCTGAATTATTGTAAAGCAAAGAAAAAAAAGAAAATATATATCTAACATAAGACCTTTCAACTTTCAAATACTCAATCTGCATTAAAAATTTCACACATTCAAGCATACCACGAGCATATTTAATTACATGAAATTATATATAAGTATTTCTGTTGTCATTAAAAAAGACAACTGCTAATGGCTGAATGGATGATGAATCTGCTGGTGTTATATTTCTTCAAAAGTTATACAAGTTTTACAGTCATGACAGTCTGTCTACAGTATGTTTCATTTCATGTTAAATATATTCAAGAGGGTTATATAAACTAATCTCAGTATAGTGATAATCTATATGCAATTTAACAATGCAAATTTGAGCTTGAAATAATGATGGATTAATACAAGCATCTTTGTCTTGAATACATAAAGTATATACATGGACATTGTACTGTAAGTTTTTTTTATTAAATCAACAAAAGACTTTTAACGAAATGAAAAATTTATCCATATACATGATATAGCTGTAGAAATATTTAAAACTCTAACTTTGACTTTTCCCTGCATAGCTTCTTCTTTATTTCTTTATAAAAACAAAAACACTTACTAGTCAAGTAAAAAAGTCCTATTTTATTTGACCATCATCTAAGATTTACAATAGTAAATACATACATTTAATGAAAAATAGTTTACCCTAACAATTTCAACACTAAAATCAAACTGTTTGTGCAAAACACACCAATACATAAACCCTAACCTAGTTCTATATGGTCTGTTATCTACTGAATTCATACACATAGTGTATATTACGGTGTGAATAAAAATTGAAGTCTCTTGTATATATTAACCTTCAGTCATGAAAAATGAAACCAACTTATAAATACAAAAACAGTAAACTGTGATAACATGAGAAGAAATCCAAGCAGCATACATGTATTTTTCACTATAGTTTTGTAGGAAGTGATGTCTTAAGACTTGGACAAAATGTCCCATCTCGTTAATGTGTATGTAGTAGTCAGCTTAGCATGAATTGTGTCACTGATGTTCAAACATCATTTAACCAAGGATGCTGAAGACATTCCTCTGCAGTTGCACGTTTCTCTGGATCGAATTCTAACATGGGGACTATAAAATCTCCAAATGCTGCTGCTTCCTCTGGCGTCCATTCATACTTTTCTTGTAACACCTCAGTTAGAGCCCATGGTTTTAGTTTTAAAATGTGTTTCAGCTCACCTGGAACAAAACAAAAGTATTTATTAAAAGTAAAACAATGAAGATGACAATGTTTGTTTCCTTACTTATATCCATGAAATACTAAGTGTTTGTTGCAATTATACCTAAAATGATTTTCATAGATATCTAATACAAGATTAGACTAAAGCTCTTGTGTGCTTATGTTGTTAAAATTGAATTGAATATGTTGAAATTTCTGGACATTCATGGTGCTCATGAAATTACAAGCTATAGTTTTACTTTAACGCAACTCTGCTAAAAAAGTATATAACGTGAATAAAGTGATAAAATAATTCTTTATTAGTTTTAAACAGCAAATATCTGTTTTTCAAATCAAAACAAACTAAACAAGCAATCTGAGAGTATTGCATGTCAATACATAGTCCCCTACCGGTTAAGAATTCATTGTACTGGAACAAAATGTTAACTTGATCTATAACTTGTTATGGTGTAAACTATAGAACAAATATCAAGTCAATATCTTCAAGCAAGACAGAAAAAAGTGTGGAAAACTGATTATTTGAGTAAATTTATTTTCTAAGTCCAAGGACAATAACTCTGCACAAAATCATCAGACTGGAACAAAATTCGAACTTGATCTGTAACTTGTCAAGATAAAACTATATACCAATTATTAAATCAATATCTTTAAGCATGACAAAAAAAGTGCGGGAAAACTGATTATTTGAGTGAATTTTCTAAGTCCAAGGACCATAACTCCGCACAAAATCATCAGACCGGAATAAAATTTAAACTTGATCTGTAACTTGTCACGATAAAACTATATACCAAATTTCAAATTAATATCTTCAAGCATGAAGAAAAAAAGTGTGGAAAACTGATTTGCCGGACTAACAGATGGACGGACGGACAGGACAGACAGACAGATAGACGGAGTGCAAACCTAAAGTCCCCTTCGACTTCGTCAATAGGGGACTAATAATCTTCAATCCTCTTATTTGACAAAGAGCTAGTAACTGCTTTTGTTTCTATAACGGAAAGCAAATGGGTATGTTTGAAAATGCCCCAATATAGCCTCTATTTCAAGCTTTTTTTTTCAAATTATAATTTAATGGCCATCATCATGATCATATCTTTAACGATGACTCGATAGGATATATGTGGTTTTTTTTTAGGGGGGGGGGGATTTAGGTTTCAGTTTTATATATTTTCCACAAAATTGAACAAAAAACATGCAAATTGGTTTTCGGGACAGGAATCATGGTGCAAGTGTCCTCAAATATAATCTTTTTATATTTATTTGTTATAACAACTATTTGACTTGAATATTTTAATAGTTTCCTAGGTAAAATTCTGGTTAAAATCCAGATTTTGTCATCTTCAACAACAATCTTTGTTAACCTAATTGGGGGTGAAACTGACAAAGATTTGTAAGAAAAACTTGTCAAAAATTGTATCTTTTTATTTTCAGATGTATATATGCAAGAACTTGAAAGACTTTTCATCTAAAGGAATCAATATTTGAGAGGCCCTTACTGCATTTATTCCTATATTGCTTTTAAAAAGATTTCAGAATTTGCAGTTTGAACATACATTGTATATCTCCTCACCAGTCATTATGCACTCGGAACACTTGACTATAATCCTTACCCCTTCTATTAAAGAATTCCCTGGAATATTTGCCGGCCAGTGCTATATGGCGAGGTATTGGCCCTAGAAGTTCTATAATGTGGGCAATGTGGTCTTCATCTCTAGAGTAGTCTTCTCCTGAATGAGGCTCAAATAAATAATCACCAACTATCAACTCAAATGCCTACAAACATATAGAAAATTATATCTAATAGGATATGCCAAGAAGAATAAAATGTGTTGTCAACAAAACCCATACTGACAAGAGAGTCTAAAATTAAATATATTTGTTGTCTCTAAAAATAACATCTGTACAACTACTCTTATATTATTCAATGAGCAGCTTTAGTCATATAATTGACGACGACCGATATGTTCCAAATGTTGTAACCACAATCCTGTCTTCTTTTCCTCAGATGTGACCTACTAAATTAGACATCATCTGGTTTGTACTTACATGAACAGCATGAAGGGTGCCACATGTGGAGCAGGATCTCCTTACCCTTCCTGAGCACCTGAGATAACCCCTGGTTTTTGGTGGGGTTCGTGTTGCTCAGTCTTTTGTTTTTTATGTTGTGTTTTGTATACTGCTGTTTATCTTTTGATCATTTTAAATTTTTTTGCCATGGCATTGTCAGTTTATTTAGACATGAGTTTGAATATCACATTAGTATCTTTCGCCTCTCTTTTAAGTCATATAAAATATATGGTAAATTTAGAAATTATTGCTAGGTTTTAATTAATGCGAATAATGGGACTGCATGAGTATTGCAATAATAAGAACTTGCAATCTGATATTTGATACATATATCTGTATGAAGGTTTTCCTGAAATTGCAATAATAAATCTTTGAAAAAATGCAATTATTTAAATAAATGCAAATAATAATTTCCGAATTTACAGTAACTAGAATACAACAGAACATACCATGCATGCAGTACTCCAGATATCTGCAGGAGGACCATACCCTGCTCCTATCAACACTTCTAGACATCTATATTGTCTTGTCTGGATATCTTCTGTAAACCTGTGATACTGAAACATATATAAAACATAGAACTACTTCTTCTTTTAACTAAAAGAAACGAAACAAGTTTGGGTATTGGGGGAAATCCATGACCAAGTACCTCACTTATTAATTCTCAAATTTTGATTCCCTATCAGTTTATCTTTCAAGTTTTTATAGTCTTTAGATAGCTTGTTTGCCTGGAGTACATGAGGTTGTTGGTTAGATCCACTGCTTCAAAATCGGTATTTGGCTGCTTCTCCATGATAGACTAAAGGACTTTCATTCATTTTTTATTTTTTTCCTTTGAATATGCAATTTCAGAACTGATTTCCATGACAAAATAATAGTACAAAAGTGATTAAGCAATGCTTTATATTCAATCTATATGTACTTTCTATCTTCTATTGCAAATCAAATGAAATCTTTAAAAATAGAATCATTTGCTTCTATAAAAAAAAAACAAAAAAAACCTAAACTAAGATTATATATACAACTAGATATGCCCGCATAGGTCCAACCCTGAACAGTTGGGGCAAAAATGGACACAATATTCAAGCTTGATTCAGGTCTGAATTTGGATTGTAAAAATATTTGACATATTATAGGTTTCTAAATAAATGTAGTCAAAGAACTTGAGTTGTCAGACTATAAACAAATAAAGTTCAATTAATTCTCAAATGTCATATTAGAAATTTATGAAAATAAAAAGGGAGCTTACATCAATAGATATAAATAATTCACCAAAGTTTCATGAGAATTGGTGACAGCATTTTTGAATTATTGTCCGAAAACTAAAAAATCACCCCTTTTTTTAATGAATAAAACCCCATAACTCAGAAATGTAAAATGTAAAATTTATAAAATTCTGAAGGGAGCTTACATCAATACATACAAACAATTCACCAAAGTTTCATAAGAATTGCTGAAAGAATTTTTGAGTTTTTGTCAGAAAACTGGAAAATCCCCTCTTTTTTTATGAATAAAACCCTGTAACTCGGAAACGTAAAATTTTTAATTTATAAAAATCGAAAGGGAGCTCATGTCAATAGATATAAACAATTCACCACAATTTCTTGCAAGTTGGTGAAAGCATTCTTGACTTATTGTCCGAAAACTGGAAAATCCCCCTTTTTTTAATGAATAAAACCCCATAACTCGGAAACGTAAAATCTAAATTTTATAAAAAACGAAAGGAAGCTCACGTCAATAGATATAAACAATTCACCAAAGTTTTATGCAAATTGGTTAAAGCATTTTTGAGTTAATGTCCGACATGTTGACGACGTACAGACGGACAGACAGAGGTATACCATAATACGTCCCGTAAACGGCGTATAAAAACAACTTACTGTCCAGCAGGCATTTCCTAAATCAGCTATTTTTACAGGAATGTCACATTCTTCTCTCACAGGATCTGGTCTGGCAGCATTTGCTTTGCCACCTGAAAATACATCAACATATATTCAATCTGAAATATTAAGCCTTCCTGCTCATATTGCAAAACTGTATCATATTTTACTGAAAACAGGTTAGTTTGAAGTATAAATTCAATGTTGGTTTTATCAACTAAATTTTTTGATCAGGAGTATGTTTTTCCCCAATCTGGTTACAAGCAAATCCTTCTTTCACTATTTTTTAAATTTGATTGCCCTCCTATTCATCTTCTTATACTCTGTGGAGTCCATTCTCCTCAGTAATCAAGAACAATAATAACTACAGCCATACAGCAGGAGATTAACTATAAAACATAATTTTCAGACTGTACGTTGATGGTGAGGATATATATCAAAGGTGGATACTTGATCAAATCTAATTAAATAAATTTAAAAAAAAATCGTTTTGCTTTTCTCCAAAAAAACTATGAAAATAAAATATTCATCAGAGTTAAAATAGTTAAAAGTCAAGTAGATTTTATGTATATTGAAATTGGATTGAACAATAATAGTCTTTTTAACTCAATCTTAGTAAAAGATGAGGCTGTCAACACTGAAAAAATTATCCACTTCAGATACGTCTAGACTAGATGATCACCTTTTACTAAAAATTCTAAAGTGAGATTTTTTCATAATCTTTTACATTACACCTCACAGATACTTACTTGAAGAATCTGTTTTATCACTGGGTGTCTGACTACTAGGACTGTGTGAGCGTCTATTTCCCCTATTGTCTTGGGCTTCCTCTTGTGGCACTTCTTGATCCATTGCTGTCTCACATTTACTAGAAAAGTTTGTATTCACATCACCGTTCTGAGATTCAAATCCATTACACATTGGAACATCACCTGCATCGTGTACAACCTCTGAATTTTGTTGTCCTTCTTCAACTGATTTCTTTTCATTTTCCACATTTAATTTGGATTCAACCTCCTTGATATTTAAGTCTATAATGTCTGGTTGACACATTTCAGTGGAGTTGTGTTCAACATTATTTTCCTTTTCGTTTGCATTTTCAGTTTTTGTTTCATTCACAATATTTTTCTCTTTAACTGAAAAACAAAAAAAATGTTTATTTTTTTTTTACTTCAATTCATTATTTCAACTCATCACTGAAAAGTTGCGGACTAAGTATGAAGTCATTCTGTACAGTAATACTTAAAAAAAGTGTGTTTTTTAAAACTTCACTCAACATATTGAAAAATTCAATATATCGATAAACAGGAAGTAGGATTCTGACAAATTTGTAAATTGCAAACAATGTTGCAACTCATCACTGTCAAGCTACTGGCCAACTACATAACAATTATTCTGAGTTCAGTTTTACTGAAGAAAACAAGTAAAAGAGAGATAAATATTTACTGGACACATTTTAAAACAAAGTGAATCAAACAAAAGTTTTATGCAAAGTTGCTAAGTTTGGAACAAGAATTCCAATATGACACAAAATGGTAATTATAGCAGTAATAAAATGCTCCGCTGGGCGCAGCTTGATACGACCGCAGAGGTCGAACCCTGAACAGTTGGGGCAAGTATGGACACAACATTCAAGCTTGATACAGCACTGAATTTGGATTGTGATTAAATATTTGACACAGCATAGGTTTCTGACACATAATGAATGTGGTCTAAGAACTTAAATTTTTTTTAATTTACCTATTCAAACCATATCATTATTATTTGCTTTTATATATAAATCAGAAATAACCAATTTAAAATGGAAAATTTTAAAGAAAAAAAAGGAAAAAAAAATCCCCCCCCCCCAAATTTTTTGAACCCCCTTGTGATTCATCACCCCCAAACTCAATCCCAGCCTTCCGTTTGTGGTATGGAACCTTGCAGTACAATTTCAGAGAAATCCATACACTTGAACACAAGTTATTGTCTGGAAACTAGAAAAATGCTTGTTTTTAGGCCCCTTTTTGGCCCCAAATTCCTAAACGTTTAGGGCAATTACCCCCAAACTCAAACCCAGCTTTCCCTTTGTGATATGGAACCGTGTAGTACAATTTCATAAAGATCCATACACTTACACACAAGTTATTGTCCTGAAATTAGAAAAATACTTGGTTTTTTTCCCTTTTTGGCCCCTAATTCCTAAAATTTTGAGGCAATTACCCCCAAAATCAATCCCAGCCTTCCCTTTGTGGTATGGTACCTTGCAGTACAATTTCATAGAGATCCATACACTTGAACACAAGTTATTGTCTGGAAACTAGAAAAACGCTTATTTTTGGCCCCTTATTCCTTAACGTTTTGGGCAATTACCCCCAAACTCAATTCCAGCTTTCCCTTTGTGATATGGAACCTTGTAGTACAATTTCAGAAAGATCCATACACTTACACACAAGTTATTGTCATGAAACTAGAAAAATGCTTGTTTTTTGCCCCTTTTTTTGCCCTTAATTCCTAAAGTTTTGAGGCAATTACCCCCAAAATCAATCCCAGCATTCCCTTTGTGATATGGAACCTTGTGGTACAATGTCAGAGAGATCCATACACTAACACACAAGTTATGTCTGGAAGTTACAAAAATACTTATTTTTGGCCCCTTTTGGGCCCCTAATTCCTTAACTGTTGGTACCATAACCCCCAAAATCAATCCCAACCTTCCTTTTGTGGTATTGAACCTTATGGTAAAATTTCATAGAGATCCATTCTCTAAAACTAAAGTTAGAGTGCGAAAACCAATGTGTCTTCAGAAAACGACGACAACGACGCCAACGTCATACCAATATATGACCACAAAAATTTTTTTGCGGTCGTATAAAAATTGCTTTCCAGGAACAAGGTGAACCAAAACCATGAAAATGCATAACACCTTACAACCAATTAACATAACACTAAATTCCACATATCAAATTAATATGATGCAGAGATGCTGAAAAATCTAAACATTAAATTTGTTTATGATATATCATGAAATATGAAGAGTGTATGCTGCTATCCATGAACCAGGTTAGACTAAAAGAAGATGACCTTTAGTCCTTACACATATCAATACCTAATTTTAACCAATTATCAGAAATTTCTCACAAAAGAGCTAATTGTAAAAACAAACAAGCATGGGTATTATGTATTAATCAACTCTTGTAGAGCAGAGGTATAGCAAGGAAACTGTTCAAAATCACTTCTTTCAGTTTTGTGTTTTCTATGAATCCAAACACTGAAAAGAAAAACATGTTGAATTCAATAAACTAGCTACAAGTTTGTCTTACATCAATCCAGTCGCTTTAAAGGGGATGAATATTTCGTCTTATCAAACAAAAAAGTTTCCAATAAATAAATGTAATTTGGAGGGGTGATTTGCATACCACCATAACACACATCATTTTAAATGATTTTCCCCATAATCCTATATTTTCTAATATTGCAAACAAAATAGAACACAATAACCAATTATATTTTTTATCTAAGTACTTAAAGACCCAGCATTCCTAGAACAGCAAAAAAGATCAAATATTGCATCTATTTCAAAAATATGTCAGCATTTCTAAAAAGTTATGACTTGAAAGAATTGGACTAAACATGTTTTAAGATGGGTTTAAATGCCTCAATCATACCAACCAACAACTTGACTTGCCATGATATGTAACTTCATATTTACCTTTATTATTATTATCTGATTCTGTAATAGTTATTTCACTATCATTTTTGGTTATATTTGCTTGTTCAATCACAGGTGATGCGTCAGAGCTAGGGACAGTACTTTCACTATTGGGCAAAGGATTAGAACTCTCAGAAGTTGGGGAAATAAGATTAGAGCTGTCCGAAATCGGTGATATCAGGTTAGAACTTTCAGAGCTAGGCATATTAAGACTTGAAGTTTCAGAATTTGGCAGATCGCTGGTTTCTGTGTTGTCTTGATCAGTTTGGTCCATGCCTTCTCCTCCTGGGTTCCCTTCAGGAAAAGTGTTGATACTGGCACTCTGTGTCATCTGTAAAGTTAAAATACATCAATAATTTGTCATTCTATCACTCAATTTCACAGTTTTGGCATTCAAAACATATCTATAAAGATGACAAATTACACTTTATTCACTTTCTGATTACCTACCTTATGTTGTTGTCTGCTTTATTTTTTCAAACGTTCATAGAATTTTTTAATCTTACCTCCTATGATGTATAATTTGAAAACAATTTTGAAAGAAAAATTATTTACTTTACAAACTTGCATGCTGAAAGTAGGTAACTAGTCTTCCTATAAGTAAGCTAAAACTAAAAATACTGACGGCTATATTCTTCCTTTTAAATATTTGTATTTTTTGGTATATGTGATTGATATTTGTATGGTGCATAGCAAAACAATAAGAGCACAACACTGACACAGATATAAATGCTTAATATTAAAATCAAGAAATGCAAATGGTTTACCAGCTTTTTGAAGATGTGAATATTCTATGAATTTCATAAGATTCTATATATATATATATATATCAAATATAAAAATCAATTTTAAAGTAAATTATTTCTTATTTTTTATACTAAGTTGTTATCTTAATCAAATAACAGTCAAAATAATACATTCAATATTCCCTGCCAAGAAATTAATTCAAATGCATCTTACTTCTGTGACAGAGATGTAGATTCATCAACACAAATACAATGACTACATACATACATACATACAACATACAATCTTAAGTCAGATGTGAAACCAATAACAAAATACAATTTTTAGTACTATACAATTGCAGGTTCTACTGTACTGCAGTATATTTTTCATAATTTAGAACTGTCAAAATTTAGAAATTATCCATCAATCTAAAATTAAAAAATTAAATAAAATTTTTCATAGGTAATTAATTCCACTTTTAAAAATTCTTCTAATGCAAATCTAAAAAGATAAAAAAACTAACTGTTTTTTTGTTTTTCTGACAACCAAAATTATACCAATAAACTGTTAACACAGAGATATGTCTCGCCTTTTTGTTCTTTTGATAATGCAAATGTTGAAATTAAAATAGCAATACTTTAACATGTAAGTTATGCAAATATTCAAAGTCAATGAACCATGACTGAAGGTACATGCAACAATCTCCATGGAAATGAGATGTGCCAATGCTAATACAACTGCATACCAAATACCATAGATTTATCATAAGTCGTTCCCTTTCAACAAACCTAAACACAAACATTGACTTGTCAACTATGTAAAAGTTTCAAAGTCAATGAACCATGATGGAGGGTGGGGCTATATAATCTCCATGGAAACATAACTTGCAAATGCCAATAAATTTGCATACCAAATATCATTGACTTAACATAAGCGGTTCATCTTAAACCGATCTAATAAAAAAAAATACATGTAAAGAGCAAAAGTTTCAAAGTCAATAGACCATGACTGAGGGGGAGGAACCAAATATTCTAATGCTTATACAATTGCATACCAATTAACATTGGCCTACCACTAGTGGTTCCTCTTGAACTGACCTAATCACAAACTAATACATGTAAACTAAGCAAAAGTTTCAAAGTCAATAGACCATGACTGCGGGGGCGGGACCAAATATTCTCCATGGAAATGAGATATGCCAATGCTTAAACAACTGCATACCAAATATCATTGACTTACCACTAGTGGTTCCCCTTGAACTGACCTAATCACAAACTAATACATGTAAACTAAGCAAAAGTTTCAAAGTCAATAGACCATGACTAAGGGGGCGGAGCCAAATAATCACCATGGAAATGAGATATGCCAATGCTTATACAACTGCATGCCAAATATCATTGACTTACCACTAGTAGTTCCCCATAAACTGACCTAATCACAAACTAATACATGTAAACTAAGCAAAAGGGGCAGGGCCATCAATCTCCATGGAAATGAGATGTGCCAGTGCTAATACAACTGCATACCAAATATCGTTGACCAACCACTAGTGGTTCACCTTAAACTAGACCTAATCACAAACTAATACATTGTTGACACCGCCTCCGATGCCAGAAACAGCATACCTATGTCTCGCTTTTTGACTCTGTCAAGGCGAGACAATAAAATCACTTTAAATTTTAATTTTTACACATTGTTTTCATTTTGCTGTCAGATAATCAAATGCATTGATAGTAACATCCACAATGTAGAAAAACGACCAAGGTCAGTTTCTTCTTCTATAAAATGGTGTTTCTGTGAAATATTTTAGGTTAATGGCTTTTTTTTATATTAAGATACTTAATTATTCAAATCAAAATGCAAGGTATTTTAACAGATTTGAAAAATTTACAAATTTTAAATGGATATTCAAATACAACAGTACCATCCAACTCTGGGATACCATATTTGATCTTAAAGGAACCCAATGTGCAAAGGAATTTTTATATCAAAATGTATGTGGAAGTTAAGGACTTTCAAAATCAACTCACAGTTATTTACTGTCTTTAGTCATTTTGCATACATCAAATGGAAATATGTGTCAGAAAATAAAATTCTACTTCCTGCATTCATTTTAATGTAATAGCCCTAAAATATTTGAAACTGTGCAGACTTAATTTTCTCCCTAAAAATAATCATCCTGACCGGCACCTTTAGATTATTAATGGTAGATTTGCAATAGGGCTGTGCTGTTTTTCCAAAAAACATGTTATAACCCAATAAAATAGTATCTTTTATTAAGAAGCTGAGCAAGGTGATAAAAGCATAGGGAAGAATGATAATTTGCTAAATGTGTATGATTAACAAAATCTAGAATGTGGGATTTACTAGAGGGAATAAACCAAATATTAAAAAATAAGATTATAATTTTTTCGAACATAATAATTATTTTAGTGCCTATATAATAAATGATGATAATTTATTAATATTAATGAATAGATCAATCAACTATTTGTTGAATTCCTGTTATAAAGAACAATTAAATAAGGAATCTGAACAAAGGGTACCCAATTATCTATCAAATGATAGAATGTAGAGGTCTATTAGAAATATGGGATATTAAACTTTCTATATGTTATCAAAAAAAACCTCCAATTTCAGTTTTATAAATAAAACCAAGTAAAATATTCACAATAATAAATATAGATATCAACTAGAAAAATAAAAAAAAACTTTGAATGATAGTGAAATCTGTTCATTGTAAACATACATGGTACTCAGTGAAGGCACTTTTAAAATGGGGCAACCACCTATAGAGACAAACTTATAATTGCATTCAGATTTTGCTCTACTTGACACCCGACCAAAGTGGAGATTTCAAAGTGCCATTGCTGGGTCCCATGTATGCTTTTATGGAACAGCCCTGAAGTAAAACATTCTAAATATACATATAAATACATGAGGAAACAGAAAGTCAAATGAATGTGTTTCTCTTGAAATCTTAATGCCAGAAGTGTTAAAAATAGCTAGCACTATATTATGCCATTAATTTTAGAGTTCTTGCACACCAAGTTAGAATGTGAAATATTAATTTATTTTCAAAACAGCTATCTAAATAAGTTGTAGTTAAAAAAAATTTGCTACACAGAATTGTGTTAATTTTCATTAAGACACGCCATGTTAAACTCCAATGTGAAAGTGCAAATTTTAACAAAAATGGCATTTTAAAGTCACTTCAAAGTACCTCTCCGATATTCTCTTTTAAATTAAAAATTCTAAAAATATCAAATAACCAGAACCAATTTTTGTTCTCAAAAGCTCAAATTAAAATGTTTCTCTTTCTTTCAAACCAAATTTAGTAGCAGCAAGCATGAAATTTACAATTTAGCTTTAAAGAAATTCTACCAAATAATGTTCGTCGAAAGCAATGAGAAATTGAAGCTACTGAAGTGACATGACTTTCGTCAGATGACAAAGAGATCTATTACACCACCACATCAACTAGGTTTGATTACAATTGCAACAAAGGATGCAATGACTACAAACCGTTGAATCAATTTGACTTTCCTCTATTTGTTGCATTTGCACCTCTAATAACTGCTGCTGTTTCTTTAATTTCTTTTTCATCTTTTTCTTCTTATTTTTGGACATTTTGGATGTGTCTGGTTTCTCTTTTGGTGCTGTACTCACTGCAAAGTAAAAGAATGATTTATTCTAACTTCACATTTTATTTTCTTACATTTGATGAGTGAACCCTTTCGTCACATGAATGCACTTACTGCCTCCAAACGCACAATAATCTGGTTTTAGGTGGATAATGAATGAAAATTTATACACAATAGACTATTCTTACATTTTCTGGAAGGAGAGTTAAATTATTGAACATTCTGAATTTGATCTAAAAAAAAAAAAAAATCAGAGGTCCGTTGTGTTTATTTTCAAGTGATACTATATGTTATGAAAAATCAGTGTAGAAGGCTGAAGATTTTTTGTGAAAAAGAGCTGCGGATTATTCAGTGATTGACTTCGAAATTTATTCTATCCGTCTTGTTAAAACTTTCCCTATGCTCTTTATATCTCTTAAGTCATCAACTACAACAGATAGACAAATAGACAATGATCAATGCTAACTCACAGAAAGACTCATAAGATGAGCATACTTAGAAGGAAACTTTTTTTTATATAGATCTAACAACTGCATTCATTTGTTATTTTCATAAACAAACTTTATAAAACTTTCCATACCTGCTGACCCTGGCATAGGACAACCAATTTTTTGCCATTCAAAAGCATCAGCTGCTAATTTACGAACATGAGTGTCATCAACACACATCAGGACGTTTTCTGGTTTTATATCTGTATGAATTATTTTGCATTTCACATGCAAATAATGTAAGCCTTGTAAAACCTGAAAATGAAAATAAAATGCATGAAATGGAATGAATTTGAAAAAATTGATGAATATTGAAGCCAATTGTGTTGAAAATGAACTTATACACTAAATATTGTCATACTTCTTATTTGTATGGAACAAGCAAACATAGCAATATTCAAACTCAGTTGATGCTCGGTTATTCTTCAACCATGACTTGTCTAGTCAATATCACATCTCAATCTTTTATGTCAATGTGGTTATAACATTGAGGATGTACACTATTGGTTTTTTACTGCCATTTATATACAAAGCAAACAGAAATTCTGATAAAAACATCAAACGCCTCTCTAATAACCGTAAACTGAACTTCAAAAATAAAATCAAATATTTGTGATTTTTTTTTTGCTCTTTATATTATACTTTCTCTTTTGGTTTCATACCTTTTTACATTCTTACCTGTTTAATTATAGATTTGACATTTCGCACAGGAATTCCTTGGTAATTTGATCGAATTATCAACTTCAATAAATTATTTCCTAAAACTTCAAATACCATACAGACATCTGTGTGAAGTTAAGGATTAAATGTAAAAAAATCTGTCTTCTACATAGGCTTGAGGATAAATGCAAAAATAGATACAAATTATATATATATGTATACAGAAAAATCTAAATTCATACAAGCAATTTTTTTTTATTCAGTAACTTAATTTTTTATGTACCTGCAATTTTTTGTATAGATATTTGTTGTATTTTTTTTTATCCTTTTTGCAATACCATTTTCTGCAACACAATTTTTTTTAAAGAGCCAGTCAAAATAATTCAAACAGATTATCTCTTACTTTTTTGTGTACTGTAGTTTTTTGTTTTTTTTTGGTTATTGTATTTCCCCCTTGGTAGCTCATTCCCTTTTAGGGTATTATTATGAGGAAAGTGTTTTCCTTAATGTTTTAAGTTTGACCCTTGTGATAAAAAGTATATCTATAGATTTGTAGTTCAAGGACAGGTAGCAATATTTATAAGTATTTTGTTTTGTTTTTCCAAGCCTCATATTATAGGACATGCTGCTGCCTGATAGAACATTCCATTATCCCAACTCTTAGTTCAATGTCATATTGATACTTCAGGAAAACAAACAAATTATGCTAATCAGAATATTATTGACAATCCCATACCACAGTAATGATAGCAAACATTAGACATAAAATCTGTTACATATAGAGCTAAATGTGGTAATATCTATCTGCTTGGGAATCTAAATATCAATACAAACTGACAGTCTAATGAATGCAATTTCACAGGCCATTTGTTACTTTTATTCTGGTATCAAATTATATAGTTTGTAGAATTTTGTTATTAAAGAATTAAGTATAATAAAATGCTTCGCTGGGGCGCAGCTTGATACGACCGCAGAGGTCGAACCCTGAACAGTTGGGGCAAGTATGGACACAACATTCAAGCTTGATACAGCTCTGAATTTGGATTGTTATTAAATATTTGACACAGCATAGGTTTCTGACACAGAAAGAATGTGGTCTAAGAACTTGAATTTTTTTAATTTACCTATTATGGTCCAATGTCCAAAATCAAAATACATGGTTAGATTCAGTATATCAAAGAACCCCATATTTTCAATTTTTGCTAAAATCAAACTAAGTTTAATTTTGGACCCTTTGGACCTTAATGTAGACCAATTTAAAAAACGGGACTTAAAATTAAAAATCTAAATACACGGTTAGATTTGGAATATCAAAGAACCCCAATAATTCAATTTTTGATGAAATCAAACAAAGTTTAATTTTAGACCCTTTTGACCTCAATATGAACCAATTTGATAGCGGGGCCCACAAATAAAAAATCTAAATTCATGGTTAGATTCAGCATATCAAAGAACCCCATATATTCAATTTTTGTTGAAATCAAAAAAAGTTTAATTTTGGACCCCAACTTGGACCCCAACTTGGACAAACTGGGCCCATAATCAAAAATCTAAACACATGTTTAGATTCAGCATATCAAAGAACCCCAAGAATTCAATTTTTGTTAAAATCAAATTAAGTTTAATTTTGGACCCTTTGGACCTCAATGAAGACCAATTTAAAAAACAGGACCCAAATTAAAAATCTAAAAACACGGTTAGATTTGGCATATCAAAGAACCCCAATAATTCAATTTTTGATGAAATCAAACAAAGTTTAATTTTGGACCCTTTTGACCTCAATATGAACCAATTTGATAGCGGGGCCCACAAATAAAAAATCTAAATACATGGTTAGATTCAGCATATCAAAGAACCTCATATATTCAATTTTTGTTGAAATCAAACAAAGTTTAATTTTGGACCCCAATTTGGACCAACTTGAAAACTGGGCCCATAATCAAAAATCTAAATACATGTTTAGATTCAGCATATCAAAGAACCCCATATATTCAATTTTTTTGAAATCAAACAAAGTTTAAATACTGGACCCTATCTTGGACCAACTTGAAAACTGGGCCCATAATCAAAAATCTAAACACATGTTTAGATTCAGCATATCAAAGAACCCCAAGAATTCAATTTTTGTTAAAATCAAACTAAGTTTAATTTTGGACCCTTTGGACCTTAATGTAGACCAATTTAAAAAACAGGACCCAAAATTAAAAATCTAAATACACGGTTAGATTTGGAATATCAAAGAATCCCAATAATTCAATTTTAGATGAAATCAAACAAAGTTTAATTTTGGACCCTTTTGACCTCAATATGAACCAATTTGATAAAAGGGTCCACAAATAAAAAATCTAAATACATGGTTAGATTCAGCATATCAAAGAACCTCATATATTCAATTTTTGTTGAAATCAAACAAAGTTTAATTTTGGACCCCAATTTGGACCAACTTTTAATTTCTGAAATCTGAAATGAGAAAAAATTGACCCCCCACAATTTCTTTTTATCCCCCCCCCCCCTTTTTTCCCCAAAAAAATTCTTTCCCTCAAGATATGGTCATAATCTCAATTCAAATTTCCAATGGAGTTGGCAACCCTAATTACCCATTTAAATTTACCATAGTGCTAACTTAATCTATTTTATAATAAAATTAAAAATATAGTGTCAAATCTTTCATATGGATTTTTTTGTAAAAAAAAAAGATGCAACATTTGCAGATATTTTTACTGGTCTTCCTTTATAAATATGCATTTCTTTAAACATAATTTAAAAGCAGTGTAAGGGAAGTAACCAAAACGTTGTATTTGGATTACCTCTCTTACACTGTTTTAAATTATCTTTATTGTTCATTAACCATTACTTTATACATAATTTAAAAGCAGTGTAAGGGAGATAATTTCAATGATGTATTTGATTTATCTCCCTTACACTGCTTTAAATTATGTTTTGTACTAAAGTATTTGTCCATTAACCAGGACAACCTTGTTTTTCCCCCTTTTTTGCCCCTAATTCCTAAACGGTTTGAGCCATAACCCCCCATAGCAAATCCTAACCATCCCTTTGTGGTATGGAAACTTGTAGTATAATTTCAGAGAGATCCATACACCGTTCCAGTTATTGTCTGGAAACTAGAAAATGCTTATTTTTGGCCCCTTTTTGGCCCCTAATTCCTTAAGTGTTGGTACCATAACCCCCAAAATCAATCCCAACCTTCCTTTTGTGGTATTTAACCTTATGGTCAAATTTCAAAAAGATCCATTCACTTAAACTAAAGTTAGGGTGCGAAAACCAATGTGTCTTCGGACGACGACGACGCCAACGTCATACCAATATACGACCACAAAATTTTTTTGTGGTCGTATAAAAAGAGTCCAAAGGGTTACTTACGAAAATTTTAACATGTTTATCTTATCTACAGGTAGTTTTTAAAAAGTGAAAGGTAATTATAATTCAAGGTTCATTGCAACCTTGTCCAGCATTCATTTAATGTTGAAGATGAACCTTATTTAACTTTTAACCTTTTTGTTGTCATATTGGTACTTTATTTAATTCTCTATAGCATAAAAAAATAAACAAGTGAAACTGCGAGCTACTGCTCACTGATGATACCCCTGCCCAAATACTTGATGGTAAACAGGAAGTTGTTGAGTGATGAATCTGAAAACGCATCACACGGTATAGCGGACTTATATAAACCCTGAAACCAAATTTCAGAATTCCTTATGTAGTTCCTGAGAAAAATGCGGCGAAAAATATTCATGGGAAGGACGGACAGAGGGAAAACAGTATACCCCACTTTTTTAAAGCTGGGGTATAATTATGTACGTTTTATTATACATAACTTGATAGTGTAGAAGATAAAATTAATTCTCTCATGGTGTGGACTGTTATTTTTACCCTGCATGAACTGATATTTCTGGTATCACACTGAACAGAGTGTGTTCTAAATAAGCAATACAAAAAGAAATCAATTATATACAAAACACTTGCATGTTTCACCTGACATTATTCTTTTTGTCAAATTTGACTCCTACCTGAAGCATACTAAAAGCCTGTCTGATGATAATGTTTAATACCAGAAATGGACTTATGACGTTTAACTGTTCAGGTGCAAAAGACAAGAACAATGTTTTGATGAATGTTCTTATCAATTCATAACCATAAAATTATTTTTTTACCATAAGAGAACTTGGTTTTGACAACTCATTATTTAACTTCACCCTAAATTAAATAATATCCAGTTGATATCAAGTAATATCCAATTCTCACAAGTTGATTCAGTTATTCCTAACCCCGGAGTTCCAATTAGCAGTAAATCAGTAAATCAGAGAAACAGGATTATCATGGCACTATGAATACAATTCATGTTAATTCACAGAAGCAAAATTTGCTTCACAATGTAATATACCTAAATAAAGTATGAAAAATGTACACAATCATGATAAGTTGAAAGAATCAATAATAAAAGAAAACAAGAATGTGTCCATAGTACACGGATGCCCCACTCGCACTATCATTTTTATGTTCAGTGGACCTTGATATTGTGGTCAAAACTCTAATTTGGCATTAAAATTAGAAAGATCATATCATAGGGAACATGTGTACTAAGTTTCAAGTTGATTGGACTTCAACTTCATCAAAAACTACCCTGACCAAAAACTTTAACCTGCCCAATCGCACTATCATTTTCTATGTTCAGTGGACCATGAAATTGGGGTCAAAACTCTAATTTGGCATTAAAATTAGAAAGATCATATATCATAGGGAACATGTGTACTGAGTTTCAAGTTGATTTGACTTCAACTTCATCAAAAACTACCTTGAACAAAAACTTTAACCTGAAGCGGGACAGACGGACGGTTGGACGAACGGGCGGACGCACAGACCAGAAAACATAATGCCCCTACTACTATCGTAAGTGGGGGCATAAAAAACAGTTTTAAGTGTTGACAGAACATAAGGATACGTGTGCCATTAATACCAGAAATTTTAAAGTCATCTAGAAGCTGGACTGTTCTCTCTCTGTAATCATCACTTTCATCACTTTCTCTGACCTGAAAATAAAGACCATAAACATGATAAAACACTAATAAAGTAGTACTTAAATGGAAAGGTTAGAAAATTATCATAATTTGTGTCTCAAAGTATTTATAACTTTGCAAGTGCTGTCTCTCAATTCAATCTGATGAAATTGGGTTCTTCACTCAGAATTGTAAAAATTTATTCAAGGTTTGATCAATCCTGTACCATATCTATTTCTTCACACATAAATTTATTGAAACAAGTGTTTATTGATTTCTACATGAATTGAGTTCATATAAAATACTTAGATCTTGACAGATACATACTAAAATGGTAAATTGGTATAGCTAAGTTTCATACAAATATAACTTTAACCCTGATCAATACAATTTAGCAAGTAACAATAGAAATGACATTGATAATGTTTACGAACAATTTTACCAACAATAGTCAAAAAAAGGTCAATAAAAGTTAATATAAAGTCTTGGCCATTTTTTTGTGGCAATATTTTAAGTCCCCTCTTTAAAAAAATAATAAAAATAATTCTTTTTTTTATTCAAGTCCACTGATTTTGGTAAACAAAAATTTTTTGCAATGCTTCTAATACAATTTATAAATTATAGCGGTCAAATTCTCTCAAATGAAATAGCTTAACAAAGTATGTTTTAATTAGCATTTTCAAACAATTCAGTCTGGTGAAATTGTATAACTTGCAAAATTTAAATATGTCAACATTTCAATATTGTTTGCTATTTTGGGATAAAAGCCGTTACTCGATTTAGAGACACTTGACATTTCACAATTCTGGGAAGAGAAATAGATTGAGTTCTATGTGTTTCCTGATGGTTCCCAAATGACGTTTACAGCATTTTTCATGAGTACAAATCAGTTATAAGTGAAGCGTGGGAATCAATAAGTTTAGTTTTATTACTTAAATCATTCTTTAACATTTCCAAATGAGATTTTGTTTTTTTAGTTCTACAGTTATCAAAGTTCAGTAATTGAAATTCTATCATAGCATGTTACCAACTCAATGGAGAAAACAATTTAAAACTTGTAGGCGTTCATTTCACACATCAAACTGTCAGTTTTCAGAACCATTTAGGAAATTAAGGAAATGTTAAAAAAAAATGTGATAAAATTACAATGATTTTCGTAAGGTATTATTCTGGGTGTTCTTGTAATTTTATATAAAACACTTCTGCAACAAGTCTACACTATCATGGCTATGTTTAATATGTTTCTAAAGAAGCACAGACTCCCTTTCATAGCAGAAACTTGACGATCGATCGATTGATTGTTGTTTCTTTAAAGTTCATATTTCATGCATAGTTCGGGTGAAATTTTTTGGCATTTGATAAGCAAAATTTTAGGAAATCAGTAAACAGCTATACATGTATAGAGAGATACAGATAGAAAACTGTTCAATCATTATATTTTTAATGTACAACAGACATATTTCTTCCCACAACAACATCACTGACAATGGAAAAGCACAACAATTTGGACATTATGTTCCTGTGACAATCTTAACATACTACACAAAAGGTAAACATTATCACAATTATTGAAATAATCTCAATTGTCGATTGATCTATCCTTTTACTGATAAATTACTGACCATCAATTTCTAATAAAAATTCAAAATTGTCTCTTGCATTGTGTTTCTTTTGTCAAACTGAGCATACTTGAAATAATGAATATAGATATGATAGGTGTAAGTTAAGGCAAGATACATAAAGACAACTGTTCAGCCATTATATTCTAAAGATAGATTGTGGTTTCATATTCATGAGTAGATTGACAGTACGACTGACATGTAATAAATCATGGATACATGTTATACAAGCAGGCAGCTTTCAACCATCAAGGAAGACACCTTGTCATATATAAGTGAAATGAACAAGTCTGAACTTGTCCCAGAGCCAGAATTTGAAAATGTCAGTTTACAAGACAATACTTTATAGAAAGACATGTCACTCCATCCACAACTAACTAACAACCAACTAAAGGATCTTACAATTGGTCCCTCTTATTTTTGTGGAACATGTCAACAAAACCTACACTAAAGTTGTCGATTTTTAAAATGCTGTTAGAATTTTTTTATCATTTAATTTTTTTTTGTGTCATTCTTTTTCAATTAGTAACACCTGTGATGTCATCAAAATATAATATTAAATACATTAAAATAAACTTAACGCAACATGTGCTTAACTTCCTACATCAAATTAATCAATGAATATTTGTTTTTGTTAAAAACAATCAATTGTTTCTAATCAATCAAATGATTTCATCCTTTTATGTAATATTTACATATCTCTCTGTCAACTAGTTATACAAGATCACTTCCCATAAATACATTTTGTGTGCGTAGGAGGATAAAATTTACGACTTCTAATTTCATCATGACGTTACAATGAAATAAGACAAAACTCATTGTCTCAATACCCTGGAAAGCAAACTCATAAATGACCCATTGATAGAATGGGTTTGTGTTCACATAAATCAAACACCTAACAAGCAAATTGTTTTGTTTCAGATGAAACATACTAGTAAAAACACTGGCTAACACCACAAAAGATGAAACTATTAAGCTTTTCAATGTTTGCATGACTTGTTTCATTAGTTAACTGGGAATTTTGGAGACAGAGTAATATACATTGTGTCATGAATGAAATGAAATGACGCATGGAGGAAAAGTTGACTTAGTAAACTGAACCCAATTTAAATTTCAGTCACAAAATAAAAACACGTAGGAAGCAATTTTACTATTCATGATATCTAATTTATCGGTTGAATTCAAAGAATCAAATAATACGCAGTTCTTAGATCTTTTCTTTTTTCCAACTTACACATTTCAATAATTTAATTTCATCCAAAGCTGTTTCTGTGTAATGTTGGGCACTCTTCACAACCTTCAAAGCTACAAATCTTTTACATCTGAAATAATATACATAAAATTAATTTAGCTACTATATCAATATACATATTAGAAAAATAATAACAAGAAGAATATGTTTCCAAAGGACACCAAGCCCTGCTTGCACTGTAATATGTTCAGTAAACCTGGATCTGATTGGTTGATTGCTTGCTAAACATCCAGTTGGATTTGGCATACAATTTAAATTTACATCATACTAAGTATCAAATTGATGTTACCACAACTTCATTGTTACCAACTTTTAAACAAAAAAATTCAGACAAACAGAGGGACTTAACAGACTAATGGGTAAAGAAGACACTGGCAAACAGACTAGAAAACATAATACCTCCTACTGTCGAAGGCATGGCATAACCAGTTCAAAATTACTTGTACAAAATAGTTTGCACAAAATTTTGTGAACATTTCAGGTTGATTCACAATTTTATGTAAGATCAGTATGGCTTGTACTTAAAAAAAAAACTCTTCCAACCAAAAAATAAATTTTCACAATTTAGTTCAATTCTTGAAAGATTTCATCTGGAAAATACACCCACCCATCTATTGATTATTTCAATTGACTCCCCCCACCCCTCGTTAAAGTCCCTTTTAAAGTTTTCTGGAATATTCCAAACTGACTTTGATACCAAATAAAGCCAAGAATGCAAAATAAAGTATAAAAGTCACATCAAGACTTCAGTAATCTTCAATTCTTTTAGGCAAAATTAAAAAAATACTATCATGTAAGCTCATTGAAGCATTATGTCAACATGCCAACATAATTTATCATCATCTTATCTAGAAGTTTCACTCAAGCCTATTAACAAGATTAAGCTTAATGTATTTTAATATCAATATAAGCATTCTAGACAACAACAAAACACAGTAATTTTCATAACATCTTACAGCAGACAAAATAACTAGGCAAATATGTAACTATCATTTGGAAAACAAAGAATAGTAAGTAAAACAAAGAATATTTGCCATGACCATGGTGATCCAAGTTTTATGTGAAAATTCTGTGGTAATTTGCATGGCACTGAAAGACATTTTAAGTGCAGCTCACAAATGTTTACACAACAAATCAGATAAATTATGTAGACAAATCAATACAACTGCATACATTGCATGTTACAGTTGTATCAATCAAGAAAATATTCAAATTAAAGTCAGAGGCATGTTGAAATATAATTGCATATAGTTATCCATTGAGACCAAGTTCTACAGATTTGTACTTAATCATGTGGGCTAAAACTGATGTTTATTATGGTTTATATAACTGTTTATTTCTATTAATGAATGGTAACTATATGTTAATTAATGTCATATGACTGACTGCATAATTAACACTTTATATATGTGTCACTTCTCTAATTCTTGTACTATTTCCAAGGATAACTTGTTATTTATCGTAATACAATCAGCATACTTCACCCCCAGTCAGGGTATAAGAAATTATATCTCTATCTATATTAGAGAAAGCAGTTTTTTTGTATTTGGTCGATGATCAAGGAAAACATACATATATATATATGCATTTCCATCTTTTGGAAAGGAATTGCATTTTTTTTTGTCCATTCATTTTGCAAACATTAGGGGAAAAAAACCCTGTCTAAGAAAATTTTGAAAACAATATATTAATTAAAATAATGAATTTATGGAATATCTCCAAACAAACAAGATATAAGCATTATTAGTCTGGATTCCAATTTTATGTTTCTTCAATAATATTGACAGAATTATTCATTTCTTAATTTCAATCCTGACCAATGAAAAACAATGCTAGTGCAATGTAGTGTGGTTGAAATCTAAAAAACAATCAGCAATAGGAAAAAATTATAATTTCCAAAAGGATATCTTGATAAACAATAGTGTATTTGATAAGAGGATAATGACAAAAACATTATTTTCTTGATATTCATTTGTTCTTCATTGCACTGGATATTACACATTACATTTACATTTACTGTAAATATATACTTACGACATGTCCCAACATAACCACACAGTAGAAAAATGGCCCCATCCTAGTTTCCTTATCACATGGTATTTATTGTTGAACAAGTCTCCAATCTTTACAGGATGATATCCCCCTGGAATAAACAAAATAAGATCGTTGTAACAAAGATTGAAATGAATACCTAGTTGTAAGTTAGGAACAATATAACAGTTTTGAATGAAGAGTCATCTTTCTGACATTTTTCATCAATATTCAAGCATGACCAAAGTACATACAATTATTATTTCAATATATTTTGATTTAATATTGCATGAATTGAAACAGATTGATTGAATGATTGTTGGTCTTTAATGCCACTTTCAGAACTCTTTGCTATATGGTGGCGGCAAATTTTTATTGGCGGAGGAAGTCGTAATACTTGTCGAGAACCACCAACATTAGGCAAGAAAACTGACAACCCTATTCCATTAAGATCAGAGTCTAATGCACCTACCATGTGTGGGATTTGAACTCACAACCTCAGTGTTGATAGGCAAGTGATACTGTAATTGAACTACTTAGGCCACTTGGCCACAGAGGCACCATATTAGAAAGGAACTTGTTATATTTGAAAATTCTGCATGATTTTTTGAATAATTTTCATTTGACTGTGGCCTATATTTCACCCCAAATTTCATTACAGATTTCTGACTGTGACTATTTCCTGGATGCTTTGGTTTTTTTAAAACTCTTCCTTCTTGAACAATATGTTAATAGCTTATTTCATTTCTAATTTATTTTTCTATCAACTGTATGCATATTGATTGAAAAATAATCCACTGTGAAATAAAATAATGGGGAAAAAAAATTAGACATATACATGTAACTAAGCCAAAATGCAATTGTCAATTATATGTATAATAGTATTAGATATTCCCTGAGAGCATTTATTAAACACCATGATATTAAGGTTAATGCAAAATTATAGCTTTCATGCAATAATTTAATTTAGAAGGGGGATAATTAAGGATAAAACATTAATAGATTCAGGATATCAAATTACATTTAATGACATCACGTTGTAAATTGAATTATAGTAGATAACTTATAATACTATGTGCCTTTCTTGTGTGGTATTTTTTATCGTGTCTTCATCACAATAACATTTTTAAAAGGTCTTCATTTATAATCTTAGTTTTGCTTAAAAAAAAAATTAATCATGAAATGAACATTTCAAATATCTTTTCAGCTTTTGTCTTCTGAAAGAAGTGACACATAATCTTTGTTATGCTAAATTCTAAAACTGTACTGTATATAAGTTTTACAGAATTTCATGCATGTGCTCCTCTATTATCAGCTTTAGCATTTATACATGCATGACATGTATGTCAAGTTCATTTATAGATAACATCATTGAAGAATGCCACTTTTATTTTTGCATTATAATTAAATTGGAGGATGTTCAAGAAATTGTTACAGCTTTAAAATTGTTTTCAATATGATTTGCATCTTCCTAATTACATCTGTAAATTTTAAGAATGACACAATAAAGCCAACTAAAACCAATTAAAACAATTCATCTCCTACTGATATTACAAAGACATGTTTCCTCAACATTTAACTTGACACGATTGTGCAATTGTAGGAGATTACGTAAGATTTAACAGATACTTTGTGCCAATTCAAGGCCTTTAACAGTCTTCAGATCGATTGGAATTTCTTCCAATGGAGATATTTTACTCAAAGAAATCATGCATAATCTTCAAGATTCTCCAACTGTAGAAAAGTTACACAGCAGAAAACACTTGAATTAACCCCTGATGATTTACCGTTACTACCAAACTAAATCCTCTTGAAGGGACACTTGAGCTTGTAAGATCAATTTTAAACATTACTATCGCTACAGACAGTATATATACCTTTACCATACTCTGAATGTGATTTATATTTATTTTTCATGTCAGACTGAGAGTCGGAATCTATATCTGAAGAGGAATAAAGATTGTCCCAGTTTAATGCAATGTGGTGATGAAACGATTTCTCAGCATCCTTTTTCTCATGACTAGACTGTTTAACCCGACGCTTAGAACTGCGCCATCTATCTAATGTTTGTCTAAATTCTGAACTCATTGCTGACTGACTGTTTTGACTTGACAAATGTATTGGTATGGAGTCTGCACAATTCTGAGGCATTGTTTTCAGAATTCTGTTTGGAGGTTTCCCACTAAAATGACTATGATGCCGACTGTTCAATCTTCTCAAATAATCATCATTTACTCTATTATTATTTTCTATATTAAAGAGACTAGATTGGCGTAGCATTTGTTTGGCATGATGAACCTGGTGTATGAAGTTGTCAACCTGATTACATAGTTCCAAGGATCCTGTACTTCTACGATGATGACGGTTCTGATTATCGTAATACTGATAGTCATTACCTCCTGTCCATGACACACGCCGACCCACCTCTGATGGAGGCACAAGTCTGTACATTTCCATGTAATGGTTGTAACGTTCCCTAAAATCACTCATCTTGGCAGTGAAATGCAGGACTAATTAACTTTTAACTTTTACATCTATGAGCTTCAATGTTGTTATCACTAATACATAACTAAATGTCAAGTCACTTCATTCCTGGACAATACCGAACAGACTGACCACTCTAATCCTAATCCCTGATATTACGAAGCTTACATAATTGTTGAATATTAAACAATTGTCCCTATAAATTAATCCTATTTCAGTTTTACAACCTGTCGCAATACTGTAATCTGATTTTCTCCAAAGAAAGAAATACTTTTTTTCAATCAATCATTATGTCTTTAAATATTGATCCCTTGTTTGTTAGATTTATTTATTTTCCCAGTGCCTCCGGACTATAATTAGTCCTGTTCAATGTTTACACTGATTCACCTAATACAAATAAATCCTTTTTGACATTAGTTACCGAAATAAAAAACATGTACTATTTAAAGCCAGAGTCAACAAACACTTGTCCCGTCTAAATTCTTCCGGCTGTATTCCTCACTAATTTATTTTCATGGTGTCCTCATTCCCTTTAACTGAAAATACAGGTGTGATCTCCATATCTACATTGTAAAAACTTTGTCATAAATCGTCGCCCATCTATCTACTTTATGACAAGTCTGTACATCTTTTGTCTTTCCCTGGTATTTAATGTCATATAAATAAACTGTGCTTGTGACCTAGACAATTAAAACCCGCATTCAGCAGTTTTTTAAAAGCCCCAACATTTACACGAACAATTAACAGTTTTTACTTAGGAGTTTAACAATGTAACATTTAGAATTTAACTTTCATAACAACTAAATAAATATTAAACATGTTAAAGGAACATATCGCTCAATATCGAAAGCAGGTAATGAATGGTCAATAAAATTTTTTAATTGTTTTGGAATACGAGATTTGTTTTGAAATAAGACCTTGTTTATAATTGTAACCTTAGACAAGTATGGACAAAGCCAAACCATCCGTGCATGTAAAATCTTTAATCAATGCTGAAATAGGATCATACATCTGATCAATTGAAAAATATCTAATCTATCAACTTATATACAGTTATCAATGGACCCTAATAATGAATAATTAATGAAATGTCCATTACTGGAGACTATAAACATGTCATTATCCTTATACATGTAATAAAATACATATAGTCTAAGTATATTGTTACTAAAAATATACTTCTGAAAGCCAAAAAAAAACCAAGTTGTTTTTGTACTTTTGGAAGTGACATTTGAAAGAAGAAGCAATTCATGTGTACTCTATATAAAAGGATATATAAGGAGATATTGTATGAGACCAAAGGACAAAACTGTGAACAATAACAGTTCATAGCCATCAATAATGAGCAAATCTCTTTAACACAAAGTAAGCAATATAAGGTACTGGGACGATAGTTATCCTTATACAGTAATCAATTCAAGCAAAAAACATATTTTGTGGCCAATTTCACTTTTTATTGGCAACATAGCATAGTGACTACATTTCTTGTAATTTATACATGAACAGTGATCACTACATCATGTGGTTCATTAATGGACATTATCTATGGCCTTTTTAAACTTTCTCTGCTCGCAAAACAAAAACCAAGCATAAGTAACTCCAAATTAATTTTATTTTGTATCTTTTCAAAGCTTATAAACATGGTCAATATATCTGTTTTCCACTGACCATATCAGAATGACTTTCATAAATTATCATCTCAATGTTTACTATTTAAACCATAAAATTTAAATTTTACTATACATGTATATCCTTTTATATAAGTTGGTAGATAACCCACATGTCAAGTGGATATAGAACAAATGTTCAGGTCAAATTCAAAACTTTACTAAATCTGAAATAGAATCATTCATTGTTTCGTTTTTTCATAACAAAAACCATAAACCATAAATGTGTCATAAGGATTTCATAATTTTGATTGGCTGAAAAGAGTCACATAGTGTTTTCAGTAAAGTTTTATGTCCCAATATAACTCAACATTCAGGTTTACACACATTGTCCATGACAAGAAGTCATAGTCATTTGTAAAACACAAAAGAATACCTTAAATTTCCTGCTTTTTATTCTAATTATATCTTTAAGTTTTTGTCATTTGAAGAATTTGGTGATAGATCTCTGCTAAAAAAGGCTGCCCAAAACACAATGTATGGAGTGGCATGCCACCACAGTCTACATGTATACGCAGAAAGTAAATTGTAACTCATTCTCATACAATTTACATTAAGTTAACAATAATTTCGGGAAAAAGACAAACATTCCTGTCTACATGTAGGGGCTAAATCTGGTACCATATGATAAATCAAAATAAGCACTATGGGCATTTTCAACTCAAATATAGGGGACCAATTTATCAGCCCCCAAAATTCCGAAACATTGAAGAACTGCCACTATATATAGAATCAACATGTTTTGGCACTCTGACAAGGAGTGCGGAAGATTCAATTTCATTCAGTCACAGATCTATGAAATCTTTATGCACTCTGATATAAAGTCTAAAAATTCTTGGAATAATTTGAGGATAAATTTCCTACGATACCTTTTTCATAATCAGATGGATCTTCTTGTTCGTCATCATCTGATCCAAGGATTTCTTCTTCTTCTTCATATTCTGGTTCTTTATTCTGTGGTGCTTCTGACCTTAAAATGGAAGAAAAATAATTAAATACATGTACATGAATAACAGATAAGTCAACAAATTGTCTAAACTATGTAGTCTTGCCTAAAAAAAGCTGGTAACAAGAATGTGTCAATAGTACACGGATGCCCCACTCGCACTATCATTTTCTATGTTCAGTGGACAGTGAAATTGGGGTCAGAACTCTAATTTGGCATTAAAATTAGAAAGATCATATCGTAGGTAACATGTGTACTAAGTTTCAAACTGATTGGACTTCAACTTCATCAGAAACTACCTTGACCAAAAACTTTAACCTGAAGCGGGACAGACGGACGAACGAACGATCAGACGCACAGACCGAAAAACATAATGCCCCTCTACTATCTATTGAAACAAACTTTAATTATCTTTTCATTTACTGCAACAATGTAACTTGGTTGGCTAAACAAAACAATAACTACTTGTAGCAGACTTTTTTCTCATCATTTATGCTCTGTCCCTGCTCCAAAAGAGTAGGTTTGATAGGGCCCAATATGCCTCCCACCCCCATATTTCTTATTAAAATATCAAATCTGGATTTATTGGTCATAATAACTTTGAATCATAGCTAAAACAATTACTGGATAGAAAACAGGGTTTTTGATGAAAATTTTTAGTATAAGCATTCTTTCCATTACACACAAATAGCTAACAATTTGATTTTCTAAGAAATTATATAAAACAGATCAATTTTCATTTGTGTTTTAGGACCTGTAACATAGGTGGACAACAGAATTGTTTTAACAGTATGTTTAATTTGTTATAACAATTCCCCTATCTGACGTGAATATTTAGTTTGTCAACCCTTGGCTCTATGTTTCTCTAGGCCTAAAATAGGCTAAAAAATACAACAAAAACTACACAAATTTTTATTTCACTTTATTCCATGTTCATTCATCAATTTGAAACACATTTTTTTTATATTGAAACAAATGACTTATCATACAGGACCAAAAAGGGCTCTTTCCAAACTTACTCTTTATATTTAACTTCTTCATTACAACAGGGACATATTTACCACTGGTCAATGGATTCCTTAGTTTAATAATGAAACAAAAATGTGCCTAAAAAACAATTCTAGCAATCTAAAATTAAATCCTGGCCAGTGATAAAATATTATACCAATAGATTATCAGCCATGATCTGACCACACTGAGATCTTGTTAGCTGAAACAATATTTTTTGTATTTAGAAATAGTATATGTTTTCCTTGTATCTTATTCATTTTACTTTAACCAATAAGGAAAATGTTTACACTTAAATGTATTTATATATAATGACACGAATGAAGTCAGATATATAAATACATGTTCACTTTACTTTTCACCACAGACAATATATATATATATATATATACAAAACAATAATTAATTACAAGGAAATATAATAAGTGGAAAATCATGACAATACAACATCCAATGAAAAGTTCTTTTCATCATATAAACCATACCAGAAACCTTCATTACAGCTGAAGAAACAAGTCAATATTTATTCTACTTTTCACATTAATCAACTTTCTCCCAATATTGTGTAATTGCTGGGATAGTCCTAAGAACTTTATTATATATATTTGTCTCATATAATGTTCAATTTATTAGGAAAGACTTAAAGACAATTTCAGAGACAGACTCAGCGTAAATCTGAGCTCAGACAAACCATAGCATTGGTACAGTAATCACTTGTTTATAGAAAAGTTCATAACATCCCTACTTTATAAACATTTGTATAATCTATATTGGTGTGACAAATGTCTAGAGTAAATAAGAACTTTGAGGGAACTTACAAAAGGATATCCCACCCCTAAAATTTGATTACCTCCCATTTTACACATTGGACCAGAATTATATTCCTAAATGCACATTCTCTAAAAATGTTCTTCGATTGAGTAAATTTTCATCAAAATCTATCCAGCCTGTTACCACTTACCAGGAGCTGCTCTAACTAGGTATGTGGAAAAACAGACAGACTGACAGGATGATTCCTATAGACCACCCAAATGTTTGTTTGTTGTATAATGAGAGGCAAGAGTAGTATACCCATGTACTAAACACAAACAATCAAACGAGCTCTAAACAAAGCAATGACAGATGTAACAAAATATAAAATGTCTCCTGCTGCATATGCAGTAGATATATATAACCTTATGTAAATCCTTGATTATGAAAGAGTAAGTAAACCTGTATTAACCTATAGCTATCCAAGTGTAAATCCTTCATGTTCCAGCCTATAATGACAATTATTTCTGCCTGTGGATACAGTGAAATTCCATCTGCAAAATCCCAAAATCTATCTACTATGAACAAGAGATGCAGTCCTAGGTTCAGGTTAGGTCCTTTTCACTCAATTACCAGTAAAAGAGCACCTTGTCATTTTGTGACTGAACAGATTAAAACTTAAAACTAACTTCTGCATGATGACAATAATAACCTTTCAAAAACATCTTGGACTATTTTAATTTGACTTTGAGTGAAATATGGTTATCATACTTTTGTAATGTTATCAATCATAAGCTTTCTATAAGGTGATTTACCACAGCTAATTATATAACATTTATATTTTGTTGATAGTTACAAGGTAGTCAACGAAAGTAGGATCACATAGGATGCTTTATAAACAAGCACTGATGCACATTAATTAAAATTAGAAGTACATGTACCAAACTGTGTTCATAAGACAAAATGAATTATGGTCACAATCCAATGCTTTTGAAACTTTGAATTTATCTGTATAAAATGTCAATGTAATATAAGGTTTCAAGTACATATCTCGTACCTAGAAAGCAGGTAATACCAAATGGTCCCAATTTGCACTTACAGATAATCAGGACATTGAAGGATCAAGGGACTAATGAACCCCTGCAATAGTTTAAAATGTTAGTACTTGTATGTCTACATTTGTCCTATTTTATATGCAAGGTTTCAAAAATCTGTGTCGAAAATTACACTTATTATGAAAAACATAATCCACACTTAATTCAAAATTATTCTAAAC